GCAGGTGCACACGGACGGATCTATGATGCCAGACGGAACTGCGTCGGCAGCTTGCGTCATCCCTGCACGGAAGAGCAGCAGACAGTGCACACTGCCCTTCCCAGCGAGTTCCACAGTGTCCGAGCTCCACCTGACGGCCTACCTTCTGGCGTAAGACGTCCCGACGCAGCCTGTTGTCGTCCTTTGTGACAGCATGACAGCACTGCAGATTCTGGCCAACACCCGACATGTCGGACTGACAGGGAGTCTTCTGGCGGCCAAGTACTAGGCCCTTGCTTCTTCTGGGGCGTCCGTCTCCTTCCACTGGCTGCCATTCCACGTGAGCATAACCGGCAACGAGGAGGCGGACACGCTGGCCAAAGCCGCACACTAGCCTGGCACTTACGTCTGTCGAGCCGTCGCGGCCAGGGACTACACGCAGTCACGCATCAAGTGGATCCTCGTCACGGTCCACCCAAGCTCCCGAGTGGCCAATGGACGAAGACTCAAGCCGTTGCCCGAGACAGGCCTCACCAGACGGGACCGTGCCGCCCTGTTGCGCCTGCGGACCGACTGCGTATGGACTGTTGCCCACCGCCACGACAAGGGTCACTGTGGCTCACCTGTCTGCAGTCGTAGCGGGGACCCTGAGACCCTCGAGCACCACCTCTGTGCCTGCCCAGGCTTGGAACAAGAACGCCCGAGGGTCACCACGACCTAGCGGAGAAAGGGCCTGCCTGCCTCAAGTCTGGAGCATCTGATATTCCCGTCCCATCCTCCCCTGCCAACACTCTGGAGCCTGGTCGAGCTCCTGGACGAGACGGAAATTGCTGCTTACCATTGAGCTTGGAGATCCTGCCCTTGCCCCTGCTGCCCTCTGTTTGCCGCTCCGGCCATGACGAACACGCCTCGACTTTCTACATATATACACACCTTTATCATCCATATCTTCTTTCATTCCCCTTCCACCGTCTCTTACAATAGGCAGACAGAAATTATAGGTGCCTTCTTCCCTCCTTCCTAGAATCACTCAATAAAATTACGGTCGCGGAAGGGCATTCAAAACATCGAGACCTCCGTTGCCCCAACGAATCACTGGTACGCCGATTTGCGGCAGTCTGCTTGAGGCGAGGAACTCTGACACCAAGATTTATCTATTGGTTTATTGATTGATTGATATGTGGCGTTTAACGTCCCAACACCACCACCATTTGATTATGAGAGACGTCGTAGTGCAGGGCTGCGGATATTTTTACCACCTGGGGTTCTTTAACCTGCCCCCAAATCTGAGCACACGAACCTACAGCATTTTCGCCTCCATCGAAAATGCAGCCGCCGCAGCCGAGATTCGATCCCGCGACCTGTGGGTCACTAGACCACCGCGGCGGGGCAACTTTGACACTGAGCCAATACAGAATATTTTTCAAGCGTTTCAGAAACCTTTTTAAACGGCGTGCCGTGCTGGAGCTTGGTCGTCTTCTAATCACACCTGCAGATGCTGGTATGAGCGTTGTACAGTCGTGAGCACGCTCCGCGTAAACACAGGAGTGCGTGCCTCACGGCACTATCAGCGACGCATGTACACCAACAAGAGGCTCGGCACATGCTCTCAGCGTGTCATCGGCGTGGTTGTTTGGCTATCGCGGACATTACTTCATCATTATTGAGCGCCTTCGAGAAAGGTGTGCTCACATGAAGTATGAGCTTACGCACTGCAGATGCGCCGAACCTCAGCTTAGGCGGGTAGGTGTCATTGATACGTGTTCCCGATTCCGAGTAGAGAACGTCGACTGCCCGCGCTCCCGTTTAGCGTGTTGAAGGATCGACGTCCGCCATGTTTCAGCCCACGCCGTGTTGTGTATATACGCGACGCCTGCCACCTTGTCACCCGTGTGATCCGTCGCAAGTCCGACAAAATGACTGGATGTAGCGTGCCACAGTGCACGAGTTATTCTAGGAATGAATGAACGGTACTTTCTTTCCAAGGTTATCCTAAAAGAAGGCTTTTATGGACAGTGAGAATCAGGCGTGATAAGCGGCAGCCGATGGAAGCCTTTCGTGTATGCAGGGTGAGTTTTTCAAGGTTTACTGATGTTTCCTATCGCTTTAACGGCGCCTGGTCTTTTTGGGACCATTCTTGAAACGGTGTGCATATTACTGGTAACGCAGTTGCGGGTTGAATTATTATTGCGAGTTATGTGCATGGTTTTGACAGCATGTTGATGACTCTCTAACGCATAGATGTCGCAGCTGAACAAGTGCATTGGGCGAATGGGTAATGCCAAATGGTTTCGTCGTCGCGTTTAACTGTTCGCTGGAATGAGGAGTTCTTTTCGGGATGAGTTTGGAAGATGTATTTTCACTGTCTCCAGCATCTCATTCTTGTTTTCTTTTTCGATGCACGAGGGTGTGATTATAAATATTGTCGCATTTCTAACGAAAGGCATGTACTCGCTCCAAATTTTATTTTCTGGCTGAGAAAGAACTGCAGGTATACGAAATCTGATTTTTCGCCATCCGGAGGAAAAATTTCCCAGAACTACTTTACATAAACGAAGGTCTTCTTGGTGTGAATAGCTTTTCGAAACATCATTTGCATACGCATATTTATGTCAATGCTGACTAATCATGTGCTTCAATGTGATTGGTGAATGCGCATCAGTCAGCTATTAGCGGAGTTAGCAGGCATAGAACCAGGACCTGCTGGAACGAACCCGTAATCAGGTACTTGACGAAAATGTCGTGTTTGCATCTATTCCAATTACGTTTATTTTCACTCCATATTTCTAGCGTAATCGTCGAATCTGCGAGCGCTGCATTTACTCTTTTATATTTCGCTAATTACATTGTTCAACTGCTAGTAATTAGCAAAAAATAAAAGAGTAAATGCACCGTTTAAACTAGACGGACACATTTGTGCTGCGCACTTCGGGAATTCTAGCTGGAATAATTGCAGACATAAAAGCATCTATTCCGCGCTTGAATGTTAGGTGCATTAAGTGTTGCACCGCTTTTCTTTCCGACGGTTCCGGGAAATATACCTTTCGTTGTTGCTTTCTAACAGACAGTATTTTGCTTTTATAATTTTCCTGAATATCGCCAACCTGTTGTGCCCAAAGAAAAGAAATCGCCGGGTGGTTGTATCGATTGGCAGACAAACAGAAATACTGACAGACTGACCAAAATTTTTGCGTTGAAGTATCCCACGAAAGACTATCGTCTTTAAAATACACACCTCCCTGGCAGGTCCCACATACCTGGGAATCGATGTTATGCGAAGCATGCGAAGGGAAGGTGACCATGATACTATTTTTTTATTGAGCGCCACGCCACGAAATGACACTAAATATATGTACAAATGTTGCACGCACAGACATATGTTGAAGAGTTTTAGATGTTTATATAACCAGTTGTTTGTGCTTGCGTAACGATGCCAACTTTAACATGCGTGTTAGCAACACCAGAGGCTGATATGAAGCACTGATGCTCGCGAGCATACTGGCCCTGGACACTGCTAGATAAATCAACTTCAGCGCATGGCAACTAACCACAATTGACGCTAATCCGACGTGATGGCCGTATCAAAGCAGTACATATGTAATGTTTATAAAATTGGGTAGGCAGCACTGCAACCACTATTGACGTTTCACGAAGATTAGCGTCTATTCGAAAAGTAATTCCGAGACCTTGCTTAGCTCTGTGGTAAAATACTTCAATTGCCACGCAGAATACTTGGGCTCGATTCCAGCTAGGACCCTGAAGTTTATTCTTTGCATTCGTCGGGTCGACATTACCGAGGTCGGGCATTTCTTAACACTCGCACGCAATATTTGCCCATGTGCGTTCTCGTCGTTCCTGGGTAGATACTAAGTGTCAATCACCTGTGGCACATACCCGCATACAAGCGGCACATACCCGCCCGTGGGTATGTGCCACTGTCTAGAGGGAAGTGTTTGACGATGTACGCGACGAGATTGTGACATTATTCATGTCTTGACCAGCGCGTCATATTTGTCAAACTATCTTACCCTCCCACGCTAATTTTGGTTCACACCAAAATAAGGGTGTGACCATGAGAGCACCGAAATGTAAGCGGATAGATAGATAGATAGATAGATAGATAGATAGATAGATAGATAGATAGATAGATAGATAGATAGATAGATAGATAGATAGATAGATAGATAGATAGATAGATACGCTCAAAGTCGCCGAAGTTCGCTAAGAAGTGCTTCGCATTTAAAAAGAACACACCGCATTATTAGTTAGCTGTAGCTGTAGGATTATTTAGCTTAAAAGCCGCTGAGCAAGAGGTGGTACTGTGCTTGTGCGGTGGTGTCATAAACGCCGCCTGGCAGGAGCGAGGTTCGTGAGGAAGAGCCCTGTGTGTTTGGAAAAAGTGCTTAACAATTCAGAGTACTCGGTACTCTACTATGGGAGAGCTGAAAGCCGCCCCTTGGGCGTCACCACCTTAATGAGGGTTATCACAATAAGTCTTTTGCGGCTTGGCGTGGTCGGCGACGATCGGCTCCAGCGAGTGCCCTGGGTGCGAAGCTGCGGCTCGTAACCACGGGCCCCCGGAGTGAGTCGGCGACACCGTTTTCGCAGTATACCGTATACGTGTTGCATTGTTTTGTGTGGGCTATCACCTTTGGGTAAAATACTGACATTATATTGGATACCAGTTATTAATTAGATTCAGATGCAGAGCTCGCGCCATGACATAAATTGTTAATAAATATACACGTGTTCTTGCTCTATACGGTGTGACTGTGTGCGTTTGTTCCGAAAGCGGCTATTTTAGAGACAGTGCAACTATTATGTATCATTTGTTTCTTGACTATAAGAGAAATGACACAGAACACACTCACTAGATCCTGATCTCGGAACACACCCTTTTTCTTCTTCCCGAACAATACTTGTTAATTTTATCTCCTAGTTTTTTTTTCAGTGCATTTAAGAACAACCGTTTGAAAAATAAAACATTTATTTGATCAACAATTGATATGGAAGATAAGCAATCTTTCCAATACAAAGCGATGAAACATGACGTGCTCCTTAATGTGCAATTAGCATATGAAAAATACAATATTAATAAAAAGTTATAGCATGGTCCGACATGGAATGCCAAAGCGATGCCTACGCTACTGGCACCACCACTTTTGCGCACAACTGGTTCGCAGCGCTCCAGAAGAAAATGGCTCCGCGTTAGCTCCGTGGTTCTAGCAAAGCCAAATTTTCGTACCCTCTGTTCCACAAAGAACAAGGCGTCTTTTCGGAAGCAGCTTTGAGATTTTGTCAGTAGCGTCATTTTCGTAGGGTAGTAAACTGGCAAGCGTGTGGTCGAGCCTTCTCTTTCACGCGGGGCGACGCTGCACTAGGTCTGGTACGCCATCAGCGGTACCAGCAACCACGTCGAAGAACTCTTTAACCGGTTCCTCGAAATTTCAGCAGCATGAGAAGCTACGTCAGACCCGTCGCACGTTAGACGTCACCTCGTATCCATCCATGCGCCTCTGACGTCAGAGTGGCATCGCAAATCTGGCTCGAACAAGAGAGTACTCTTGAGAGCCTTATTAATAGACTGTTGCGGTGACGTGCGTGCTATTGCTGATGTCTAATGCTCTGCGGTCGTGCATATTCAGCGGTGAATTCGCCATCTGTGGATAAGGCCCTTCTGAGGAAGAACCCGTACGCATTTGAGAATGCTTCTCAGCCGGATGGTCTATGAGCTTCGCATGGCGGTGACTGCCTTCCATACGCAGTAGCCCACCACACAAGCAACGCTTGATGCGGCGACGGCTCCCGTTGCCCCGACAAGCAGCACATGAGGGGGATGCCGCTCCAAGAAGGACATCTCGAATGGCCGCGCCTTCACACCCTGGAACATGCGAAAAACAGTGCCCCGTGAGTTCGAGTATATACGTCATCGCCAAGTGGGCGGCTCTATGACATTGTCACGGATGATAAGTTTGAAAGCAGCCTTTGTTCGCTTGAAATTGCGGTTATAAACCGTAAAAAATAACGTATAGACAATCTGTCTGTTTTGATACCCTGTTTTGCTTCCTACTACACCCCAATAAGCGTATTGCATGCAAGGGTTGATCCAGACAGGGAGTATATAGAGATTTCGAACCCTCTCTCATGTCGTTTTTATTTTTGAATGTTTATTTCAGAGAGAAGGACCTATCAGGTCCTCGCATAAGCGTACCAGTCGCGTCCCAAAAGCTGACATCACATTCGAAAAACACCCTGTAGGGAACTGCAACTATTGGTTGTGCCATCGTCGAGACGCTGGTATTGCAATGTCATGTAGATGCAGTTTACAGTTAAATCATGAGTTGCCTGCTCATGATGAGCTTAGAATTCTTCACTTGAAGCATTTTCTGTCGAGAGAGCCAAGGAATAGCTAGCCCTTTTTGCCACACACAGCTCCGCCCATTCGCAATTGCAAGTAAAAGAAGAATCAATCACCTATATATGTTTCACTAGCACAGTAGGAAATCGTTTCTTAATTCACTTAATGCAGCACAGTTTCGAGCAAAAGGTTAATTGCTCGGTGAGCACTGCTCACCTACAGCACCTTCTTTCAGCGGTGACCGAGGGGCTGAAAATATTACGAGGCAGAAAATAAAATGTGCAAACTCTGAAGAGAAATGCGTACTATTTTTTTCACTGGTCAGTGGGAACTTCCCGTAGTAAAGCTATGCGGCCGGTCTCATATGAATGCCGTCGGGTTGGACTCGTCCACTTGAATGGTGACTCGGCTTGAACGCGCATGGACTCAATCTACTCGCGTCGATATTATGTAAATAACATTCATATATACACGATTCCGACAAACGAATTTTAAACCGCGTGCTTTCGTGTATCATTGTCTCATAACTGAGGCAAATCATGTATACCCACCTTAAATTCTGGTTCTTCCTCCCAGATTTCATCTTTCCGTAGAATCTTCATCGCACATAGGACCTGGTTGTGAGGGGAAAAAAAGATCACTTACCATAAGTTCATGGATATTACTGGTTTAAGACGACAAATTTTTCGAGCTTGAAAACAGAGTACCAGGGAATTTTCGAAGTCCGTATGTTAAGCTCACTGATCAGTAAAAAGTACGTGACATTTATAAGTTTCGGCAACTAATTTTTAACATTTTACGTAATATTATTGATTTTTATTGACTTACGCGCCCACACGTAAGTGGTAAGTACAAGATCATATCAAATTTACAATTAATCGAAGTGCTGCATGGGCACACCACACAGGCTTCCGCATAGATGGAGAAGTGAGGGCATCGGCCGTGCTTTTTCGGCTCCAATGTGGTGCATTGTGCAAACACGCTCAGCAACCATATTTCGACTATAGTCACGAGGACCTGGGGCCCGTGAAAGGACAAGGGCCTGGTGACGTGGCGTAGCCCCAATTAGCTTCTACCTTAGCCATTCATTTTCGTGGACACTTATTGTGCACTTCTTAATTTAATTACACGTAATCGTCATCATCACATATCTTGGCTACGTGAATAGACGGACGGCAACAGACTTTGGATTAAGTGTTGCGCCACATTAGGTATGTCCTGCACGGGTGCCAGAGAACTACAACAGGGATGTGGTGCGCATGTAGTTTCTTTTTTTGCGCAAGTAGAATCCTAAACAGCGCAAGACACGATTAGTGGGACCTATAGAATTCTAGGTTCGTGTCTTGCTCTATGTGGAACTCTTAACTCGTATTCTAGGTCACTGCACTACACCATTTATATGCCATGTAATAACCCGTGTAATATGCGGTCCAATGAGGCGTCATTGCACCTTCTCAGTGCAGAAACACAACTCATTAACTTTAGGTGCGGATGTGTGAAATATTATTTCTTGGAACATTGTCGGATAAGTGGAGTCTGTCTTGGACACGACGTTCAACGCACCTGGTTGGGGACTTCACCCGCTCGATTGCGGAAGGACATTTTCGGAAACGAAGGTTCTCAAACCTGGGCCGCGTCCGTTTCTCGTGCGCGGTACGAGGCAAAAACATATTTTATTAAACGTTAGTGTGTCGGTACATCGGTCACATCTTTTTTTTAACACAATTTGACATGATCATCAGTCTTAATATTCTTCGCTTGTGAAGAGCTCTTGAGATGACATCCATCTCATCTCAAAGAATAAACCAGTGAACCAGACTCGAAAATTTGGCAGACTCAATGCGTACTTTGCACGCGTTTCACCAGGGCAGCAAGAAAAACAAAATGGCTGCGTATCTACAGGCTTCAATGCGAAAGACGTCGAAATCTTCTATCTGGGGGCGCTGCGTGAAATATGACAGGGCCACCTGGGAGTAATGGGAGGAAACAAAGTTTTATTTTTTTAGAAGGAAGAGCAGCTCGTATACGTGGCAACGCCTTGCCATTTTAGCTAGTTTCTAACATCTAGTTTTAGCGTTGTGGGGGTACTGACACTCCCCAGTAAAGTTGTTTCCACCCCGTGGCGCACGCGCCTCACGCAGAAGCCGTATTTCGAGGTCATGGCTATTGAGCGGTAGGTGGCGTTGTGTTTACGAGAGCTGTAAAGGGCTTCACCCTATAGTTCAGGATGAGGGCGCAGAGTTTTTCAAAGCACTGGGATTTAGGGACAGCGAGGGCAAAATAGACTTTAAGCGGGTAGACTTAACTAGAAGGAGGTTATCTGATTGGTGGCTAAAGTCAAGGCACGAGTGAAAATTAAATCCTTCACTGCGAAGTACGAATCCTCAACTTCATTATTTAAAGGAAAAAAAAGATAAATGTAATGGTTAGTTCACTAAGTATTACGGCTAGGTGGCGTTAGCCGCCGCCCGATCTAAAGGGTACAGCCACATCCATCCATCCATCCATCCATTGACCACCACTATCATCATCATCATGGTTAGAAAAACGTTAGCGCTGGCGGCCACGCTTGGCGGAAAGCCTCAGCAGCGGCGAGCGAGCAATAGGCTGGTCTCTTCTGCGCGTGGCGGTTGCCGCGAATGGTGGTCTCTAGTGTGGGTCCCCGGCGCGCGGCACCGCGGGTTGCACGTCGGGGGCCCTCGTGGTAAGTCAAGCGTTGCCGACGCCGTTATTGTGTTTGTCATGTTTTGGAGTGTATGGTAATATTGTGTAAGGATGTCCTAGCGTGTTGATCACGATTGATGCTATATTAACTCGGCGGACGATATCGTCGTTCCGAAGTAGTTAAGTAAACATATGTGTTGTGAAGTTTGGGACCGACTGTGTCTGCTGTGTTCGTTCCCTCCAATAGCACGGCGCTCGCCATTTCGAGACCCCACCATAAGAAACACCCGCTTTTTCGATCAAAACGTCACATTGCCTGTGAAGTGACTGTGGTCTTTAGAAATACGCATCTATACATTTCCTAAATAAAAATTTAGCAAATCCCACGTACATTGGGAATCAATGTTATACAAAGCATGTGAATGAAAGGTGAATGTGTTTTATTTTTTTTATTGAGCGAGACGTTATGAAGTGGCGCTAAATATATGTACAAATACACGCACGCGCGTATGTTAAACAGCCGCGTATGTTTTATATTAGCAGTTGTTTACAGTTACTTAGCGATGCCAACAGCAGGATGCATATTAGCAACACCAAAAGCGGTATAAGCTGATATGCAGCGCTGGTATTTACGCTGGTGCGCGCGAGGATGGTAGCCCTCAACACTGCTACACGAATAAACTTCAGCAGATGGCGCCCAACTACAATTCACGTTAACCCGACATGGGAGTACTATGTAATGTTTATCAAATCGAATAGCCTGTACTGCAACCACAATTGACGTCGCACAAGCATTGGGATGTATTTGAAAAGTATATCCGAGGCCTGTCGTGCTCTGTGGTGGAATGCTTGATTGCCACGCGGAAAGCTGGAGTTCGATTCCGGCTGGGACACTGGAATTTATTGTTTGAATTCGTACGGTCAATGGTGCCAATTGAAACATCTGACGCTCAAGCGCTGGCGTTACCCATGTATGTCGCTCGCCGTTCTTGGATAGACATAAAATGTCTATCACCTGCGGCACGCATACCCCCATAGCAGTGGCACATATATGTATACACCCACCCCCGGGTATGTGCCACCGTTTTTTTTAAGTGTTTGACGACGTACGCGACGAATTTGCGAGATTATTTACGGCATGACCAGCGAGTCGTATTCGACAAACCATCACACCTTCCCGTACTAATTTTGGTGTACCTGAAGTTCAAGGGGTGATCATGAGAGCACCCAGACGCAGGTGGCTAGATAGATAGATAGATAGATAGATAGATAGATAGATAGATAGATAGATAGATAGATAGATAGATAGATAGATAGATAGATAGATAGATAGATAGATATAGATATAGATATAGATAGATATAGATATAGATATAAATAGATAGATATAGATATAGATATAGATAGATATAGATATAGATAGATAGATAGATAGAGATAGATAGATAGATAGATAGATAGATAGATAGATAGATAGATAGATAGATAGATAGATAGATAGATAGATAGATAGATAGATAGATAGATAGATAGATAGATAGATAGATAGATAGATAGATAGATAGATAGATACGCTCAAAGTCGCCGAAGTTCGCTAAGAATTACTTCGCATTTAATAATACTTTTATTAAAATAGCATTGCTCATATTCACTCTGCATGATTTAGGGGATGCGAAAAGTGCTTGCAGTACGCGAAGAAATGGTTCGCATTTAAAAACACGCTAATACCGACGTATTGATATTGCTCCTCAAATAAGCGCCAAACTTGCCTTTTGATTGACAATGTTCACAGGTATGAACGCAGCACGAGATTAAGGTGGGTGGGCGCTGAGCAAGAGGTCAAACTTTCGCCGGGTGGTTGTATAGATTGACAGAAAAACAGAAATACTGGCAGACTGACCAAAACTTCTGCGTTCAACTATCCCACGAGAGACTATCGTCTTTAAAATACGCACCTCCCTGGCAGCCCTCTCTCCAGCCTGCACAGCGCCGTTCATGTAGCCAGGCCACGCCGTTGCCGTCTCCGTGCCCGCGAAGTACACTCGGCCGAACGGTTCCCGCAGGGTCCTGCGGAGCACGCGATCGCTCAGTTACATCTGCCACACTGGCTTAGCGGATGTGTCCGTGTTACTATGCTCAGCTGGAGTTCACGTACGTGTTCAAATACGTACCGGTCATAGCAGCTGCAATGTTTTTTCGAGGGGTGGGGGTCGGGGAACACTGGGCGGTAAAAGTCACTTGGAAATCAAACCACCACGCACAGCAAACCGCCATGAACAAACTTACACGTACCGATCCCGCGCTCACCTCCCAATGTTTGCAGCACAAGCTGTGTGTACACGACTCCATATTCGTGCTCACCTCCCAATGTTTGCAGCACAAGTTGTGTGTACACGACCCCATATTCGCGCTTGCCTCCCAATGTTTGCAGCACAAGTTGTGTGTACACGACTACATATTCGCCAAGATCGAAAAGTCTACAACATAAATCTTTCCTCGCTTTTCTTGCATTACCATTCTGGCATTCTCGCACCGGTATAGCTCTCAGTTGCGCTAAAGAAAACAACCATTATAAAAATTGGTTGTTGGTTCCTTCGAAGTGAATACAGGTGCATTCGGCGCCCGGTTTATACGTCAACATATCCTTGCTAATACATTGGCGTTAGTAACAATATTTTTGCTGTAATAGCGTTACAGCGGTATTGGAAAATAAGATCATAGAAAATTACAAAGAGCAGTCGCAAGACAAGATATTAATAAACGCGGGCATTCTTACTTTCCATACTTGCTCATGACCCCTGTCGGGAAAGTGGACACGTAGCAACCGCCTGAGTATTGTTCCTCGAGCCAGTTCTTCTCTTCGAAGTGTACAGGCTGCAGAGAATATACGGGATGAGAAAAGAAATTTTGTATACCTCAACGCAACTGGCATGCAAGCGACGCAACCGAAAAGAAAATTGCTTTCGTAATGTGCTAACGAACATTTCTTACGTTGTAGGCTGCTTCGTGTTCGAAGGCCCTCGCCAAATCTGCAGCGATGACTTTGGGCCTGACCTGTTTCGGCAGTTCCTGCAGCCTCAAGGCTTTGTCACCAATGGCGAATCTGCTCACAAAGACATGAAATTCACAGAATAAGAAGGGACGAAAAAATAGACAAAGAACGCAAGGACGCAGTGCACCGAACACTCTAAGGCAATATTACCCGAAAAAGGAGTGACGGAGCCCAATATACGCACGCGATGAACGGATAGATCGTCGAGGAGCAACCACAGAGGGAAGCGTGTGGCGCGAAACCACTTTGTCTCCACTAGGGATGAACCGCCCGGACATTGCAGGCAGTGCGAAAAGCGTTGCCGAGGTGACCAGCCCTCCTTCTCCACAGAACACATGTCCTTCTCCTCCTCTGCTGGCTCAGTCTTTCTCCGTATTTTGCCGGCGGTGGTTGCGCAGCGGCGTGCTCGGAGTGCTCGAGCACGGCCGCCTAGATTCGACGATCTAAGAACTACGACGTGGTGCTTGTGTGTACGCCTGGATGAGCGTGGGCTGCTGCTTTAGCGTTTCGCTGCACCCATGAACACTGGAGCAAGCCTCGGCAGGTCACCACGCCGCGCTGTATATCTCTGGCTTCAAGATAGTCACGACCAACACACGACAGCAACAGTCGGGAAGGCCAATATTGCGGCCGAGAAGAACAGGCCTATCGGATATATACTTCAGTTCGACTCAGGGCAGAAAACAGCGCTGGATTCTAAGGCAAGTAGGTTATCATTCTTTATTCTACTCTACTTGTCGGGTGTGCGATACGGATCGCGCTTGCCGGCAACGTGCTCGGTCGTGTTGTATATCGCACGCACGAAATGCATCGCGAAGGTCAGCTTCGGCGCCTGCAGTTTGCCTGTGCTTTGCGACCGCCTGGGAATTAGCCGCCATTGCCGTCGGCCTCCCGTACGCTCTCTCATCGAGTGCTCGCCTGTCTTTGCCTCCGCATGTCGCGCGCTGTAAGTGCACCAGCACGGGCTGGCGGGGCTTTCGCTAGCGTTGGAACTCACTGAAAATTGGTCGCCGTTACAGTTGCCTTCCCCGTCAGTCGGTCGCAAGCAGCTCGGCGCAGTCCGTTGGCCGCGGCGGCGGACTCGCGTCTGCGCGCTGCACTCGCTCAAGTTGGTGGAAAAGGGCCACATTACCGTCGATTTCTTCGGCGCTAGCTCCAAACCAGCTCGGTGCTGTTCGTGGCGGCGGCCAAGCATACGCTCGCTCTCCAGTTCGAAGTTCACTGGCGGCAGACACTCCGCGTGCAGTGCCGTGTTTGGTCTCGTGTTCGCTTGCTCGAGCTGAATGACGTCACTCGCTTAGGACTCGCCGACTTGTTAGCGGCACGGCACGGTGGTTCACGGATTTGTGACTGCGGCCGCCGCTCCTATGCTGTTGCGCTACGGGGATCGAAATGAGTCTTTGACGATGTGTTACATCACGGTGAAATTATTAGCATGTCATATCTCACATATGTTTTCATGTCACCTTGCACGTATTTTTCATATGCATTTGTATTCATCCTCTGTCACGTGTGACTCAGTATTTTACATACTTATTGTGCAGCCGTGGGCACACACCGTGCTGAAGACTGTGCGCTGGCGTCTGCGATGCCCGTCATCCATCTTTTTCGTCCGAGCAGCTTCAGAAGGACTGTGCGAGATGGGAAGGTAAAGTTATTTGTGTGTCATATTTTAACGCTTGTCTTTATATTAACATGCACGTACTTGTCATATGCGTGCATCTTCATATTCTGTGACGTGTGCCTAACTATTTTTACTATATCATTGTACGTGCAGCCATGGGAACACAACAGGCAGAAGGCTGCATGCGCTGTCGTCTGCAATGCCTGTCACCTATCGCTTCTATCGGAGGAGCTCCCTAAGGAGTGAACAATATTTGACAACGAGACTGGACTTGTACACTTCACCATGAATTCACATAAAAGAATAGGGAAACTTCATGTCTATGTAGAAAAATAAAAGATTTCGATATCTCACTTTTGTCTTTCATTGTTGCCGTGACTGTGAAAGCAGTTACACATAGGTGGCTAACTGCTTTTTCGCGTGTTCTTTTCTGCGGAATTTGTTGGTCACTGCGCAGAAAAACAGGCTAAAAAAGTATTCGGCCTGGTGGAAAATAAACAAAAAACAATGTTTGGATTGTTGAAAAAAAGTTCATCCGATCGGAGTATTTGAGTGGATCTACCGTTCGTCCGGCAAGGTGCAGCTGTGAGGACTCATGGTTGCACGGTAAGGTGTAAATGTAGGGATTAACAGTTGCTCTATAAGGTGCAAATATGAGGACTGAATGTTAGTCCTTTGGGGTGAACTGTGGGACTAACGGTTACTCACTAAAGTGTAAATGTGAGGACTAAATATTAGTCCCTTCTGGGGACTAACAGACCCTGTGCCGTTAGTTCTTAAAGGGATTAATGATTGTGGCAGCCCCATTAGTCCCCAAAAGGACGAACCATCGTTTTTAACACCCTTTTGCCTTAGAGTGAACGGTGTGCCATAAATTGCACGCGTGGAGCTCGTTTTCAGTGACACAGCTGATATACTGATATCAATACGCTGAATTGCGCAACGCATCATATATCACAGTCAGCTGTCGGTCCTGCGTCGCTGATCCAGTCTCATTAAAAGGCTGAGGTCTAATCACTCTCCAGTTTTCTTGCTTGTTATGCACTGTTAGACATATCCCGCACAGAAGGTTTCAAACAAGATAATCCCTCCACCCTAAATTATAGCGACCGCCCGCTTGTCACTGAAAGCAACACGTAATCGCGAGAAAGAACACTCATGGCACATGAAAGGTTTTGCGATTCCTATGTGTTAAGTATGTTATTACCATCGAAATCAGAAGGATAGTTGACCTTACATTGTGAGGGCCGCCAGGGAGAATCCAGGTCTGCAGTCATCCGTGGTAATGTTGAAAGCTAGGCTGTCGTCGGCACAGGATGCTATTCCACCGTAACCTGTCAAGTGCAAATCAGATAGTACAGAAAGCTGATGTTTCCTTCGACAGTGCACGCAATTTTGACATGTCCGGCCATACGCTTCCGCGTTCCTCGTGCTATCATTCGAACTAATTTAGGATATGTTGTGCCCACTGCTAGCTCACCCTCGCTTTTCGCAATTTTCATTAGTATAATGCGAACAATGCGTGTCAAGAGTTCGTTCCCTTATTAGAAGAAAACGAGCAACCTTTGAAACAGGTGAAGGCGCGGGCAGTGTCACGTGAGGATTCGTGGTTGTGTTCTGACAAACTCTCCCCTTCGAAAGATAGCCCCGTTTGAACGTCAACTCTGCATTAATATATAGTTCTACATTCAGACTACGTTGCTTAGTTGCAGAGCTAGAAAGTAACTACCACAGGCGTTTACTGCTGGCGTCTCGCACCAGTGGCGCTACCCAGGAGGGTGGCTTGGGGGATTTGATTGCCATGCTCAACACCCCACCCCCCTCACCGAAATTGTCACATTTTGTGTAAGTGTACACGTATACATACACACGAAAGGAGGTCAGGCACTGCTCCATCTTGCACGAAACGTTTATCTATGTCCTGCAATAAAAGTTTTAGACTTCTAGCTGAAAGTGAACCATCATTATTATTTGCACATTGAACATTTACACGCTGAACCTTCGCCATATGCTAGATCTTCACTTTTAATATTGTACCTTCACTCTAAACCTTAAGTAATGTTCGTAGTCGGAACATGTTGATAACGGCAGTATTGGTGCACCATTGCGCTGGGCATGTATCTACGTTCCTTTCAACAGTTCGTGTATTTTACTCGCATTGTTGTACGCGCCGGAATCTTGTTCATGTTGGCATTCAATGTCAATGAAACTTTATTCTGAAAAGCGACAGCATAGTAATGGTTTATCCTAACGTGTCTGTGCATACCTGCTTCCCTCCAGAAGGGCTTGGGGTAATAAATGTTCATCTTGAACGCCGAGCCAACCGGCGTACGTTGTATGAGCTGGTTTCGCAGAGGTGACAGTGGAGGCTCGTAATGAATTTTCAGTTGTAGGGGCGGCGGGATTGTCATTATGACGTAATCAGCCTGCAATATTGTTAGACTATAGGTTAGGTTACACTAAGCGAGGAGCCACATCACTGCATGAAGAACATGATGTGAAATAAAAAAAAAACGCCTCTCCAAAGGCTCAAGCACAAATTAAGCCATTTTTCGAATGCCTTCGGAGTATACTCCCTGCGAAAGCAGCGGTCAGACTGAAAAGCTGGATTTACAGTGAAGACAATGTTCAGACCTTTTATAGTAGTTCAAGCATGTGTGTTGGCCATTGCGTCAAGAACTTGTCATTAACAATGTGGTTTCGAAAATATAACCTTTGGTCGGGTCGCTGTTAAACTTGCCTGGAACTCCCTGCCGTCGAAGACACCCACGACGACGCCATTCTCGTCTTGCTGAAGGGCGCATGCTTGGGCGTTGAACTCAACCCTACCTGAAACAAATCAGAGGCACAAAAGCGGCAACGGTTAAATAAAGCTTGTGTTAATTATGTTTAGTTAGTGAGATAACCAAGAGTGGAAAGGGGGTAGGTTGAAATACAGAGGCAGTCATTGTGCACGTTGCTTCTCCCTTTCTAGTCCTGTATTTCATTCCTGCACAAGAATACCTCGAATTCGACAAAGTGCAACCAAACTTGCGTGCCACTCCTCCCCCCCCTCCATCCCCCCAAAGAAGCAAATATAAGAAAGTAATGTCGAAAGTTAAGCGATTTATAAGATGAACTTATAAGTAAAATAATCTATCATGATTCGGGCAAACTTGCGTGCCACTCCTCCTCCCCCCACCCCTCCATCCCCCCAAAGAAGCAAATATAATAAAGTGAAGTCGAAAGTTAAACGAGTTATAAGATGAAATTATAAGTAAAATAAATCTATCATGATTCGGGTAGGCTGTCGTGTTCGACGCACAAGTCATCTACGAACTGTAAATTTGTGTGACGTGGACATGTTCAAGTGTAGATATTAATTAACAATGAGTGGTTATGTTTTAAAACGAGATCAATCCGGAAATAACGCGACAGCAACTGCGAGCTTAGCGATCAGTTACGAATGTTTCATACTCCAAGTCATACAAACTCGTACTTTATGACGGCAGCGAGTCGCTCGTCGCACTGCGCAGCTGTTCTCTGAAAATCATTTCATGTTCACTTTTTAGCATCTAGTTGTTCCAGCTGGATAATGTTATTGCATACGACGCATCTGCGTAATGAGAAGAAAACAGATACATACCTTCCAGCAGCTGCAGGAGCCTTTCACAAACTGTCATGGCACCGTTTTCGAACTTCCTTTCCTGCGTGAAGCAGCAAAAACAAAAATTACTGAGACGACGTATCTCGCGATATCACGTAGGGCATGTTGTAATGGCGCTTGCATAATGTGCCTTGGTTGCGCGTTCAGTTATCTCAGATGATCAAACCCAACTGAGAGAGATCCGCTGTGGCGTCCCTAATGATAAACTTATTGTGCAGCAGTAATAATGCCCAAAGGAGCAGAATTGTCATAAAGTTAAACTATCGAATGCTTAAGCGTGTGGACAATTTAAGTACTCTACCTTGTGTACTCATAAAAATTTATTACTCTGCTATAGGTACTGGTTACACACCCAAACTAATACAAAGTTCAGTCGTATACCACTTATACACTTTTTTATATTTAATTTATTTATTTATTTATTTATTTATTTATTTATTTATTTATTTATATTCTTAGCCCAAGGCCGTTACAGGGTTGGGTAAAGAAGTACACCTCACTTGTTGACACAAGCACTACAAAATGAAATTAAGAAAGGCAACACAATGGGCAGTTTAAACAGGAGACCAATCCAACAGGTAAGTTAACTAAGGTTTACACAATAGTGACCAATGATTGGCATGGTAGGATAACTTGATACAACACGCTTGACGAAGGCTATAACATATACATCGCAAACTTCAGCGTCGTAAGAACTTTTCCTACCAACGTCACGTACAGTTATAGAAAAATATACAAAAAGGGATCATTTTGTGGCTGTGTGAAAGTACAGCCACGGAATGCGCCGACACACAATGTGGCAGGGTTAGGCCACATCAAATACACACAACGAGCTTTCAGACAAAACGCTGCCGTAGAGAGAGAGAAGAAATGTAGGAAAGGTAGGGAGGTTAACTAGACTATGCGTCCAGTTTGCTACCCTACACATGGTGAGGGGGAGAGGGAGTAAAAAAGAGAGAGAAGTATAGACAAATGTCGCATCACACACACAATGCCGAGTTTCACAGGTGGTCCCTCAATGAAGTTGCTGTCAAGTATCTCAAGAGGACTCGTGTGGCTCTCTGTGCTGATGTGCTGCGCGACCAGGCTCATAAGATCTTTGCTTCATTAAATCGCCGGTCATAGAGTCTATTCAAGACACACTGGAGAGTCCGGCGATCTTCATCAAATTGGGCTCAGTGGCACAAGAGATGTTCAATAGTCTCTATACAGTTGCAGCTTTCACACATGGATGAATCTGCCACGCCAATGCGATGGCTGAACGACTTAGTAAACGCTACCCCGGTCCACAGCCGGCATGGCATTGTAGCGTCACGTCGAGAAATCTTGGATGGCAGTTGTTTCTGGAGTAATGACTTAAGGTTCTTAGGGCGATGATTGAAGTTAAGTGGAGAATTCTAGTGCGCAAGCATGGCATTGTGCGCGATGTAACGAAGTTCTCTAGCTTCGTCTACTCTTGACAAGGGTATTAACAGTGTTTACCGGGTCCCTGTGGCATCAGTGGTAACCACCTCGCCGATGGCGCTGCCCACGGTGTGCCCACGATAGAGCGCCCACACTGTTAATACGCTGCCGTAATTATGCCCGGTGATATAGTAGCTGGCTTGCAGAAATTTATTTAGAAGCTTTTTTTTTCTTTACAGAATCCGGCCTTATAAGTGCTCTTCATAAAAATTATGGCATCCCCACGCAATACCCCAAGGGCACCGCAGTGTACATATCTTGACCACAAAAGCTTGGCCACATTCCATTGCGTGCAGCCGTCGTGAGGGCGCGAAATGACTTACCTGTGCTCCATTGAATGTGCTGCACATCCTGCGGTTCCCTCCGCAGCACTTGATGTACCACAGAGCCCACAGCAGGGACACCTGGCTTGGCTCATTGGACAGGTTTACCTGCGCCAGGGCGCTCAGGTAGTCGCGGCAGCCCCTGAGCGCCTCAAGAACATGCGTATATGTCCCTTGCCCCGTGCGTATCACATATAATGCGATTTTATCCCCATGGATTAGCCAATTAAATCTCTCGTCCAGAAGTCCTGAAGGGCTGCTTCAAGAGCACCATCAAACGCGATTAAATTTAAGGCCATATCCCGAAGCCAAGTCGTTCAGTTAAATGAATTACCGTCTCCTGTATGTAGCCACCTCTCGTTTAGTTCTTGTAGTGTTTACTAGATGGTGGTACTGTAGCTGATGATGAAAAGATGCAAGATGTTATAAACCAGAAAGCGGTACTTGTAGTTGATGAAAGACGCGAGATCTTATAAAATAGGAATGATGTCACATATGGCGCGTGTCATGGTTGAAGGCACTCGTTCGATTTAGTGCGGCGACGTACGCTAGGGGGAGCGATGTAATAAAATCGAGTGGGCAAAATGTACAGAGGATCATGGTTTACCAGGTTTACCTCCGGAGCTTCGCCCACTCATCATCATTCACTTCGTGGATATGGCGGAATTTTTTTTCCTCTTCGTGAGAAGCTGATGGGTCCAGCCAGGTGCTCGTGCAACGATGGTCGGTGCGAGCACCTGGCTGTGCCGTGAAACAATACGGCGTGCATGCGTGCCCTGTGCGCACGGAGATGCCGCTTTAATTGAATGTGGGCAAGATGTTTTTTTTATTTGTATTATTTTTTCAAGTGCAAGCTTTGTTTATTCGCCATTTTAATTGGCAGATCCCACGTAACAAGGGGATCAATGTAACACGCATACATGCTTCGCCCACAGGCTAAGGCGAAAGGAGGATCCAAACCTCCTGACCAGGCCCTATAGCACTGGGGCAGCGGAAGCAACGAAATTGAAAACAGGTCAACTTGGGAAATTCTGAATCAACAAGGACGTAATCATTATTATAGTAAGCTTATAATCAACCATATAGTAATCACGTAGCGACAGTAATGAACGTTAAGTAATAATGTAATCACAGTAGCAACATAAGCACTAATGCAATAAAAACAACAAACATCAATAATGTGGTAAATAGCTATAGTAATAACAATAACATTTAATAACATTACAATCCAATCGCCGAGTATCATTACTATTTGTGTAGTGAAAGTTACATTAAAAATTGTACAACACATCAGCATCTGACTCAAGAAACATGTCCATTATTAAATGTTTAAATTCTTGAATGTCGCGGCAATAAGTTCAGATTCATCGTGCACTGTGGCAATTAATAATAATGATGATGATGATAATAATAATAATAATATAATAATAATAATAATATAATAATAATAATAATAATAATATAATAATATTTTGTTGTTGTTGTTGTTGTTGTGTGTTGTTGTTGTTGTGTTGTTGTTGTTGTTGTGTTGTTGTTGTTGTTGTGTTGTTGTTGTTGTTGTTGTTGTTGTGTTGTTGTTGTTGTTGTTGTTAATGTAGGGGCTTACGTCCCGAAGCCGCGAAATAATTATTAGAGACGCCGCAATGGAGGACTCTGAAAATTTTGACCATCTGGTGTCCTTTAACGTGCACTGACATCTCACAGTAAACGCTATTGTGACTAATTAATGAATAAACGACGCTTGCTCGCTCTACGCGAAGGCTATCGGACGCTGTCAGCCAATCAGTCATGGCAGAGTTATTCAAACACTGTTGAGAACATTTGTAGAACATTCTCGAGGTGTTCCACAACCCAATTTTGCTCTAAATTAAGCAGAGTATTTGTCGGCAACAAGTATACCTATAGCGTAGGTTGTTCCTGCAGCATCATCTGCGAACGATCAGAGGGCGCTTTAGCGTGCGTTCCTATAGTCATATACGCTGCGGTGACTAGTGGGTAGGCGCCTTGGCTCTTTACCCGAAGGTCCCGGAATCGAATTCCGGCCGCGGCTGCTGCATTTTCGATGGAGGCGAAAAGGATCGAGGCCCGCGTGCAAAAATTTAGGTGCACGTTAAAGGACCCCAGGTGGTCGAAACTTCCGAATCTCTCCACTGTATATATGCTTTTCGTGATCATATCAAGGTCATGGGTCGTAAAACTTCAACGATTAGTTCCTTCTCACGACTGTACCGGCGCAGTGGTGCCCTCACTGAATAAAAAGACAATACATTCTTTTCTCATGTGGTCGGCGTCCTGACGGGTGATCGTCAAAGCATTGACCTCTCCGGCCTAACTCACTTTCGCAACGTTTTTTTTTAATTCAAGGTTAACTTCAGCACACGAAATTATGGTTGCTTGAGTGGTAAAATATAAGGTTTCTGTCTTTTCTCAGTGGGCTACGAGTATCCGGTCTCTCCGTATCTGGTCGCCCCAACCGGATGGGTATTGCATCCGGTCGCCCCCGATCGCCCCACTCCGTTAAAGAATTAAATGGCGACTCCACAACGCGTACTGGTGTGCTCTTTCTTCGAGATAGGTGCAATACGTTAGTGATTATTCGTATGCGAGCTTTCTTGTCTGCCGGCACGATTATCCCAGATCTATAGCCTGCTCAGAAAGCACGACGAAAGCATTACTTTGCAGAAAGTGAAATGCAAGACCTGTCTGACAGTTACTGCATGCTTTACTAGAAATAGGACCTTGCTACGGTCTTTTTGTGAAAAAAAAAAATCGCGGTTTACCTGTTCATAACTTAAAGCGGCTAGATATGTTTCAACACCATAAATTTGATCAATTTTGCATCAAATAAGGGCTATCATTTCCATATTATCTGATGTATATATCGCATCCAGGGAGGGACACAGCACAAAACAAGCCCATCGTGCAGCTTATGTCGCTTCGATTTTAATGTACGACGCCAACTGCGTGCAGGTTTCTGGCGGCTAAAAGGATACGTGAACGTGATATGCAAGAGCAGAAAACTGAGCTGGTAAGCAGATAAAAGCACGTAGTATATACTGTGTCGTAGTGCTGAACTCCAGATGATAAATTCATAAGCCTAATTTTTTCGTTTATGACAGAGTCACGCAGCTCATCCCGGCATGTAACTAACTGCTCAACGCAACCCGAACCTCGATGTCATAGTATCTGAGACATAGCTCATCCAGGACGGGACAGAGAAGAAGACACATAACACATACACAGCCCTGTGTTATGTTTCTTCTTTTCTGTCATGTCTTGGATGCGCCATATCTCAGATACTATGGATAACCAACAAGCCCGCCGTGAAATCTCAGTCAACTTTATGTCATACTTTTGCAATGGCAAGCGGGAACATATTACGGTCGATGTTTTTTCCAGAGATGGGAGCATAGTGATGATGATATGTGGGGTTTAACGTACCAAAACCGCCATGTGATTATGAGAGACGCCGGTGTGGAGGGCTCTGAAAATTTCGACCACGTGCATCCAAATCTTAGCACACGTACGGGCCGTAGCATTTTCGCCTCCATCGAAAATGCAGCCGCCGCAGCTGGGATTACCACGACCTGTGGGTAAGCAGCCGAGTACCTTAGCCACTAGACCACCAATGCCGGGGCGGGAGCTTAGTACTTAACGGAAAATGCGCAGACACCTTGATCTGGCAGCGTGTCATCTCTAGATCCATCTCTCAATACAGGGAAAAAAATGCCAGCACACTGTTATGCCAGCGAGTCCTCGTCAAACGACCGTGCCTCTGAAAAAGGCAATCTGGGTCAAGGCCAGCCCGCAGTCTGCCTGGCGCGATCACCTCGACGGCGTGAACACGCGCGGCGCTCCTCTGGCCCACGTGCAGTGAGTCAGTTGCGCACGTGACAGCGAGCCGGCGTTCTCGTGCCTGGTGGTCTGACGCATGGCGCGGCGACCCCCATTGGCGGAATCTGCCCGGACGACCAGCGGCGCTTCTGATTGGACATTTTGGTTGGACCCGGTGTAAATAAAAGAAGCCCTGCGGCGCGTCGCGATCGGAGGTCCTAGGAGAGGAGTCCCCGTGTCGGAGGGCCGACATGTGTGTGAGTCAGCGGTCTTAGGCGAAAGGCTGACCTATGTGTTAGAGAGGAGAGCTCGGCTCTTCGAGTCTCTGTCGGCCCCAGTGCCGAAATTGTAACGCCTCTGTAAATATGCTGTACATAAACCTTGTTTAACTCACCGTCGTCTCGTCCGCTCGTCTTATCAGCTCTGCGCAGAAGCAGTCGCGAGCTGATAAACATACGCTACCAAACGGCTGGCGACCTTCCCGGCGGAGTTGAAAGCAGTGGCGCCTTCGAGGCCGTGTTGGCGTCCCCGTCTTTCACAACAGTGGTTGGCAGCTGCGGGATCGGCCGGCGTCAGCGACATCGATGCGGTGAGTGCCTGATGTTTTCCCCTCAGTTCACCAGACTACTCTAGCTCAGGTTGTAGTAGTTTAGAGAAGGGGCTGTGTGAAGCATTGAAGTGAGCTTTGATCGTTTCAAGCCAAGTTGAAGTGCTTTGAAACCAAAGTTAATGCGGAGGTGGTAAACACGGGAGTGTGAAAAATTGCTTGCGCGTCTTGCTAGTAGGCTTATAGTGGGTACGGCAAGTAGATTCTTAACAGGGGAAACAGCAAGAGGCTAGTGTGAACGATGGAGAACCTTAAAGTGAAGGAACTCATCGAAATTTGTGAGGAACTCGGCATTACTTTGGGCCGTGCGAAACGAAAGCAAGCGATCCTTGAGATCATGAAGGATGAGGGAGTGTCGGCTGAGGAAGTCGATGAGGCCTGGGTGGATATCAAAGCACGCCGTGAGGAGGCTGAAAGGCGAGAAGTAGAAGCTCGCGAACGTGAGGAGGCTGAAAGGCGCGAAGCTCGCGAACGTGAGGAGGCTGAAAGGCGCGAAGCTCGCGAACGTGAAGAAGCTGAAAGGCGCGAACGTCGCGAGCGCGAGGAGGCCGAGAGACAGGAGCGCCTTGAGATGAAACGACTAGAATTGGCAATCCTACAGTGTTCGCAGGCGCCTAGCGTAGCTTCTCCGACGATTCAGGTCAGCGGTTTTAGAATTAGGGACCAACTGCCACCGTTCGTAGTAGGCGAGGACATGGCGAAGTATCTCGTCAAGTTTGAACACGTCTGTGAGCGAAACGCTTTGGAGCGGTCTCTTTGGGCGCGGAACCTGCTAGCTCTTCTTCCCGGCGAAGTGTCCGACGCGATAACTTGCTTGTCGAGGGAAGCGTTTGAGAGCTATGACGAGGTTAAGGAAGTGCTCTTGAGACGTTATAAGTTGTCACCCGAGGCTTTCAGGCAAAGGTTCCGGTATGCTGAAAAGGGGAATGAGTCACACGTTGACTTCGCGTTTCGTCTTAAAGCCGATTTAATTGAATGGCTCAAGGGCGAAGGTGTTTATGATGATCGCGATAAAGTGGTGGAATGCGTTGCATTGGAGCAATTCTACCGCTGCATCGAGGATAATGTCAGACTTTGGCTGCAGGACAGACTTGGGGAAGTACAGTTAAATAAGGCAGCTGAGTTAGCTGAGGAGTATTATACTCGCCGAAAGTTGCATAGCAGGGCAGTGCGCGTTGAAAAGGATGAGAGAAAAGAGAGCTTTTCAAGGAAACCTGATCAACGGAAACCCGTTCCGCACCGTAATTTCAAAAAGGACCCATCTCTTACTAAGGACAGTGTAGGGGAAGGGCAAGCAGAAGCGGAGAAATCGAGTGAGGTTTCTACCACACAGGCATTAGAACCGGAAAACAAACGGAAGCCGCTAATCTGCTACAACTGTAAAAAGGAAGGGCACATCGCGAGAAACTGTCAGGAAAAGTTTGCCTTCGCAACGATCCGAGAATCAGAAAAAAACATGCGGTTGTTGGAGCCGTATCTCCAAGAAATTAGGGTCAATGAGAAAACGTGCCGAGCACTTAGAGACTCAGCGGCAACCATGGACGTTGTCCATCCTTCATTGGTGTCTCCGGATGACTTCACAGGAGAATGCGCGTGGATCAGGCAAGTCGCCGAGGAGCAGAGTGTTCGCTTACCAATCGCCACCGTTGTCATTGAAGGCCCGTTCGGTAAGCTTTGCACCGAAGCGGCTGTGTCTGCCGCGCTGAATGGTCGTTTTTCTTATCTTTTCTCCAACAACTCGGAGCAGCTTCTCAAAGAGCAGGGCAAATCGTTCTTCCCCAACTTAGCGTGCATGGCTCCCACGCGATCGCAAGCGCGAAAGCTTTCGCGGAAGCTTGACTTGGTTCCATGCGGTGAACTCTCAAGTGACCTTGTCGGCGGGTCGACGGAACCCCAGAAAGGAAATTTTCCGCATGAGTCATGTGAGCAGTCACGCGAGCGGCCCGTCGCGGGAGCGGCCGGCGCGGTATGCGCTGGGGGAGACGACGTGGCGCCATTGAGTCAGAGCGAGAGGGTTGCAACGCTCTCGCCTGTAGCGGAAAGTTGGAGCGAGCTGCCGAGAGTTGATCGAGAGACGCTCATTCGAGGGCAGAGTGAGGATCTCTCGATTGAAGCGCTAGTGGAAAGCCAAATTGAAGCGCTCGTGGAAAGCCAGAAAAACGCGGCAAAAGTGCTGTCGAAGGAGCACTACGAGAAATCGGGGAAGAAGCGCGCTTTTGAAGTTGATAATCAGGTAATGCGGCGGCAGCCACCCAAAAGGAACAAGCTTGAGGTTGATTGGGAAGGGCCCGCCACAGTATTATCGAAGCCTTGCGATACAACTTATGAGGTGCAAGTAGGAAGGCGGCAGAACAAAATTTACAACTTGATGAAACCCAATGTTCAACATCAAGCGGTCGTAAATCAGCTGTTGAAGGCTTCAGAGGAAGAGGAAGCAGAAATTTTGAGTTCTAGTGAGGTAATTGAAGGGGGATCGAAAGTAATCCGGGAGCAGATAAACCTAGAGCCTAGCGTAAGTGAAGGAGGACCTGAGAAAGAGGACCTGAGAAAGATTGTTTCCGAGTTTGGGTATGTGTTGTCGGACCGTCCCGGAGACACGACGGTGATCGAACACGATATCGAGCTAAGCGGTGAGGAGTCAATCAGTAGCAAGCCGTATCGTTGTTCCCCTGTGCAACGTCGAAAGTGTGAGCCGCTCTTGGTGCCGCATAGGTATCGTCGCCTAAAAGTGGCCAGTTACTGAAGTGGGGCATGTTGCTCCACAGCGCAACTTTGACGTTCGCTAAAGAAAAAAAAAGAAAAGGTAAACGCTAATGCAGGTGCATTGAGCAGTGCGTTCCAGCTAGTAACTTCTCAACCCTTCGGTTTCTGGCTGGCGATTCGGGGCAAAATTTTGACCTCATCACGACCTGGGCTGAGCGCTCTCGTTCAGAGTGATCTCAAGGGGCCAACTTTATGTGGTATTCTAATTCGTTGCGTTGTTGTAATTGTGAAAAATTCAAGTTCTTACTTTAGGAGTCTTTTGTCCCACATGTGCCTCTTGATGTAGAGGGAACGAAATTCCGATAGACACGTAGATAGGTATCTGTTGTTCTATACTTTGTCTGGTGTTCTGTTGGGTGACCGAGGGCACTTGCTTGTATCGTGTGTTGTCTGTTGTCGAACCGTTCTTAGCAAGTTGCAGAACCATCGACAAGTGCTGAAACCGAAGATGGTCGGAAGAGACGAGCGAAGTTGGCCAGCAAGTTGTGGCGACAAGCCCGTGGAGCTGGGATCCGTCGTCAAAATGGGATGTGTTCCCGGAACAGTCTGGAGCTGTAGTCTCCCCATGGCCCTGGAGGCGAACCTGGAGGGACCTGGCGAACGAGCGCACCTGACATCCGAGCCCCGTGGAAGCAGCTCGTCTTTCCGGTGCATTGTCTGGCGGCGGGGGTGCTGTTATGCCAGCGAGTCCTCGTCAAACGACCGTGCCTCTGAAAAAGGCAATCTGGGTCAAGGCCAGCCCGCAGTCTGCCTGGCGCGATCACCTCGACGGCGTGAACACGCGCGGCGCTCCTCTGGCCCACGTGCAGTGAGTCAGTTGCGCACGTGACAGCGAGCCGGCGTTCTCGTGCCTGGTGGTCTGACGCATGGCGCGGCGACCCCCATTGGCGGAATCTGCCCGGACGACCAGCGGCGCTTCTGATTGGACATTTTGGTTGGACCCGGTGTAAATAAAAGAAGCCCTGCGGCGCGTCGCGATCGGAGGTCCTAGGAGAGGAGTCCCCGTGTCGGAGGGCCGACATGTGTGTGAGTCAGCGGTCTTAGGCGAAAGGCTGACCTATGTGTTAGAGAGGAGAGCTCGGCTCTTCGAGTCTCTGTCGGCCCCAGTGCCGAAATTGTAACGCCTCTGTAAATATGCTGTACATACACCTTGTTTAACTCACCGTCGTCTCGTCCGCTCGTCTTATCAGCTCTGCGCAGAAGCAGTCGCGAGCTGATAAACATACGCTACCAAACGGCTGGCGACCTTCCCGGCGGAGTTGAAAGCAGTGGCGCCTTCGAGGCCGTGTTGGCGTCCCCGTCTTTCACAACAACACACAAGAACGCATTAATGTTTTGGCTGGCATAAGCTTACTTTGCGTCATTTTAAACGCGAACCTTTTCTTCACGTAGTACAAACACTTGTGGCGGCTATGTATACGTATCTATCTATATCTACCTAGTGCTTACGTCTCGGTGCTCTTGTAATCAACCCCTTAACTTGGCGGGAACCAAAATTAGTATGATAAGGTAAGATGGTTTCACGAATATGACACGCTGGTCAAGACATGAATAATGTCCCAATCCCGTCGCGTACGTCGTCAAACACTTCCCGCCAGACAATGGACCATACGCGCGGCCAAGTAAGTGCGCCACTGGTATGCGTGTATGTGCCACAGGTGATTGACACAGTATAACTACCCAGGAACGACGAGGACAAATGCACATGGACAACTTTAATGAACGAGCGTTAAGAAAAACCTGTCATCGGCAGCTTTTACCCGATGAATACAAAGAGTAAATTCCAGGGTTCCAGCAGGAAACGAGCCTAATCATTTTGCATAGCAATCAAACATTGTACCACACAGCCACGCCAGGTCTCAGAACAACTTTTCAAATAGACCCTAATGTTCGTGAAACGTCAATTGTAAGTTGCAGTGCTGGTTATTCAATTTAATAAAAAATACATATGCACTCCTACAATACAGCCGACATGTCGGGTTAACATAAATTGTAGTTAGGTGTCATGCGCTGAAGTTGATTTATGTAGTAGTATACCCAGTGCCAGTATCCTCGCGAGCATTAGCGCTTCATATCAGCTTCTGGTGTTGCTAATACTTGTGTTCCTGTTGGCATTGTTGCGCACTGAGTGCAAACAGCTAGTTGTGTAAACACCTGTAACTCTTCAACGTATGTCTGTGCGTGCAACATTTATACATATATTTAGTGTCATTTCATGACGTGTCGATATATAAAAAAAAACAACATGGTGACCTTCCCTCACATGCTTCGCATAACGTCGATTCCCAAGGTACGTGGGATATGCCGGTATTGTCGGCAATCACGCTGCATAGCAACACCGAATGACTGGAATAACGTGCGCAATGTATAAGTTCTGTTGGGCTAGACAGCTTCGGGAATGAGCCTGTAAGGTTTCGGAAGTTAAAGCTTCCGCTCATTCGCTTTGTTCACTGCAGGCGAACCAATTAATTCATACTGATGTTAGTAACTAGCAAGTTGTAGCCCTTCGAGTTTACACAAGGGCTCAGGGCGACACCAGCGGCGACGGCCAAAGTGCATGCGCCATGGGGTTTGCTATCAAAATAAAACGGATACGTACTTCGTCCATGACTCCTTCTCGAAGAAGCTCTGCAGCGTCATAGCATCCCACTCCTCCGCGTGGGGACAGTTCCACGGATCTACAGCGGGAACCTGCATGCGGAGCACAGGACTCACAAACTGCGTTGTCTGACATGGGCGAGACGAAGACTTGAACGCCGGTACTAAACGTTACGTCTGTTTTAAATTGCTTCTTTCACGCTACTGTCAATTTTTTTTTTCAATATACTGAAGAACATGCATGCTCAAAACAGGAGTGGATAACAGTAAAGTTAAAATGGTAGCGCAAGTAGAGAGACGAACACAGTGCAAATGAAACAATTCATTGCTCAATAAAGTTATAGTACTTGGTATAGTGCAAAAAAACAGTGTCAAAGTTTCAATGTTTCGTTCACAGGTGTGAACACACAAACTGTAAAAATAAATAGCAGTTTATTACAATCCACGCAGCCTTGCTGATTACCTCTCGTCCTCTTGTGCAGTTAATTTATTGTCGTACTGATGAGCCATTTAGAACAAATGAATATGTTGGATATTTTGAGTTGGTGATTCTATGGCATTACAGTTCACAGCAGCTGATGACAGTTATTCCAGTATGCTCTAGATGACAGAAAAGGATATTATCTAGGTAATGCTAGTTCTTTCTCAGTTGCTTCCCTTGTTACTATAGGCTTTGGCTAGATGACGTTGGGTTGTTTATAGGTTGTTACAAAAGGCTTTAGCTATAGGAGATACTAGGTTGTTGATAGGCTTTAGCTATGGGTGATACGAGGCTTTCTAGGTTGCTGCCCGGTTGCTGCTAAGGTTTAGCTGGGTGATGCTAGGTTGTGTCTCGGTCGATCGTTAAACAACGGGCAGTCGCAGACACGAGATGGACTTCCAAACTCCCGAGCCAGAAGCTCCCTTAACTGAGTGCTTACACCTTCCATAAATCTATTCGGGCACGTCGTCGTTCTCGGCAGATGCGGTGGGTCTCCTCGCCATCCTTGTTGCATTTCCCGTTCGCAAGTATATTATCTCGTTGTATGTGCCATTGAAGCACTTAGTACAAGTTCTTCAGTGAAGCTGAAAGGTGCGGACATGGGTTTATCACCGCGTTGATTCCGGCGGTTTGTTTTCAAGACTGTTTACAGTCTTAAAACTTTAACAAACCACCGGAAAGCGCTGGAAGCTAAACAAGGAGGGATGGCATGGGCAAAGAAAAACGTCACGGGAGCCTCGTAACCTTGAGCACTTTTTTTTAAGTGTGAATACACTTTATAAGCGACCCCAAACCATCCACCGCCGTCGGCGGCGTCCGCAGTCTTCTCTCTATCTTTAAAAGAAAGAGGACTTGGCGGGCCGCAGCGCGACGCTCTACCGAATATGCCACGGACGCGACGCTGATATCGGTGTCAGTAACGCGCCTTATACCCCTCCCCCTTCGCTCGCTCCTCCGCTCTCCTCACTCGCTGCAGCTGCGCGCGCACCCCTCTCTCTCGCGCGCCCGCCTTCTCTCTCAGTCTCCGTCGAGAGCGGGTCGTGAGGGGGAGTAAAGTTAAAATCCGTTGGCATTCGCCAGTGAGTTAACGTAAACTCCCCCGTGTGATCAAATTGCGATTCCCAGGAACCATTACACCATAAGGCACCATAGTGTGATTAATAAATATAATAGTGCGAATTAATAAATACCCCTCATAGCATCACCCCGTGTATTCGCACTTAACCATGTTCACCCTCAGAAAAATGCTTGGGAGTTTTTTTTTTTTTTTTCGAAACGCGGCTTTTTTAGTGGGATTGCGTGTGCATACATGAAAAAGTCGCGGCATCTCGCGGCGATTCCTGTAACGACCGAGCGCACCATGTTTAAATCAGCTAATGGCTGACAGATAGCTTTCTACAAGTGATTTTTGAGCGTCTTCCGTCATTTGTCGAAAGAAGAGAAAGCAAATTTCTAGGTGACTTAGGTAAATTTATTGTGAATTTCAGGCTGCGTGCTGCGCTATAACATTTAGCACCGTTTTCTGAGCATGCTCACAAAGTGTTGCAGGGCCTCTTTAATGCTATCATGTTAAGAATTTTCATTTTGTCGTACGTTCATCAGCTTTGTTAGAAGACAATAATGCTTCGATATTTTCATTTTTCTCCTCTTCCGTGGAGGGACAGCGGCGTCAGCTCCAACGACAACTTGCCCCGCTATTTGAGCGAGCAGATCGGGCGGACCTTTTGAACTTTGTTGCGGCAGACCCTTTTGATACATGTGTCGTCTGAGTGTGGGACCCCTCACCCAGCGGCGCTCACAAGACAAGGAAGAGCCCTTCGTGCGACTTGTGCAGTGGACTGGCCACGACCCAATAGGGGCCGTTTACCTGGGTGGGTGTGGGCGTCACCCTCGGAAGTTGTATGCGACATGTGATTGGACAGTGCAATCTGCCCTCTTTCCCCGATCTAAGGATCAAAGGAGAACGTACTCTTTATAATGACTCTAATTAATGAGCCACTCAGATCGATTGAGAGAGCGCTTGCCATGTACGCAATGTAAATAAACCCTCTGTTCACCTTCCTGCGGCCTCGGCATCTTCATCCCGGGTCTCTAGGGGCAGAATATTCCGGTTGCAATAGTTCACAATAGGCACGAGTTAACTTGACGTCACCTGGTAATGGAGAACGGGCTACGTATACTCCGTTTCTCATTACCAGGCGTACGTCTCTCCCTACAATGTAGGTGCCGCGATCTTATGCACAGTTCCCCCCCCCCCCAGCGATGATTGAATTATAAGTGCAATCAATTATCGTTCTCAATCTTTACGATTTATGATTCCAAACCTTTCTTATAGTTTGGGAGGCTATGAAACTAACAGCATTGAATGTCGTGTACTCGAAATTTTAATGGGTGATGTCTCGCAGTGTCACTTTAGCTCATTTTCTCTTACCCCCAAATACACCTAATTAAATCTTAATTACAACGTCGTTCTGCATACCTGCTCCATCATAATGTCCATCCTGCGCATGACGTAGTTGATGTCGAACCATGCAAGGGGGTCATTGAGGCCGAAGTGGGCCCATGTGGTTTCGTACGGGTACGCCTTGCCCTGTGAGTATATATAAACACACGGAATTCCGTCACACCTCATTTACCATCTCCTATATAGCAGGCTATGGTAATTGGTATGGTGGCAAAAAGCCTCATATATGGTATATAGGAGGCTATGCATTTATCTATTTGATTTGCATACAAAAATGCACAAGGACACAGGGAAATGAGGGAGCGTCAGGCTAACAACTGCCACCTGGAGAGGCACAACGCCTGCCTACTCTTTTGGGAGGACGAAATAGATAGAGGAAATGAAAATAGGAGGACAGAAAGAGAGAAAAAAGGGAGGAATGCAGTAAAGAAAGGAAAGCGGGCGATTGAGGTGAAACATGAAACGGATGGGCTCGCGTCTTCACACGTATATACGTACCTCGCTGAAGTGCAGCAACTTGAGGTCGTCGAATATCCTATACGTGTCCACTTGCAGTTCGTTGGCGAGACGCAGGATGTGGTTCTGCGTGGGGCCCACGTACGATCCGCCCAGGTCCACCCAGCCAACCAAATCATTCTTTGCAGAGAGAGAAAAGGGGGAGGGGAGGTCAGCAACAGCCTCACGTAACAGTAGTACCGTATAATGGAAACTGTTATGCGTTGCACAGCACATTAGGCCCGTTGCGCGACAAAACGAAACAGAGACGGGTTCGACAGTCACTCTTTAATTACCTTTCTGAATATGACCTTGTCGAAGAGATTAAACGATTGAATATTTCATGTCGAAAGCCTGACGCCATAGTTATTAATATCTTTTGTCAAGTTTACTAGCGCGTTTTATATTTGTTTATATTCTTTCTTTTTATTGCTCTTCTCTTACCTCTCTTCTGGAATCTTAATCTCATTCCCCATCTCTATACAGAGTGATTAATTTCACAGATGATACTGTGGCGTTCTTGGGCTGTTTCAATAACGGTGGCATTGCCATTGTATGGCTGCATTGAAAATGGTAACCTTGCTATTCGTAAACTATTCGAATATTATTCGATTTGTATGTGTATTCGATTCCTATTTGATTCGGTTCTAAAGTTCGCTATTCACACACCTCCCACAACTCTTTCTTGGAGTAGGTCAAGTATGGTTAAAGAGCTTTTTGAAGAGGACCGTCTCTTTGTTACACAACCATACGAATCCGACAGACAATTTAGCCAACTGGAAAGCATCAGAGGATATTATTCGTTGTCTTCAATTGTGGTCTAGGAATCATGAAGTATATTAAAACGAAATTAAGTGATCGAAAATGGGGGGGGGGGGGGGGGTTGAATCTTTCGGTGGTGTAAACAGCAAAGCCGGATAATTTTGAAGACTAGTCTGGTTGCATCTGTAATTTTTTGCTATAGGTCTTATCAAGGTAATGCTAGTTCTTTCTCGGTTCTTTCCCTTGTTACTATTGACTTTGGCTAGATGACGTTGGGTTGTTTATAGGTTGTTACAA